GAAATGTTAAATTTAATTGGAGCATCATGTTCAAGTTCTGTATCACCTTCTGTATCAAGTGACATTCCATCTTCAGCACGTCCAATTTTAGATATTCCCAATCATGATTATTATAATATGGATTTGCCAGAAGAGAATGCATTTAGATATGTATGTGGATATCTAATTAAAAAATGTTTACAAATGCATTCATGTCAAGCATGTTTAACTTATCTTAATGAAAGCAAGACTGTCGTAGATGATACTAGTTTGTATTGTTCTTTTCGAGCTTTTGCCACGACAGAGGAAAATTCATTCGGAAATTTGCATGTAGCAAGTTACAATTTTTGTTCTTATGTTCATCAATTAGAAAAAATGTTTGTCACCAATTTTGAAAGTCATTGTTTTCAAAAAAATATTGGTAAATATTTATTTGAACTTGCGCAAGCTGTACCTTTTAAATCACCATGTCAAAATTTCCCAACAGTTTATTTGATTAAATTATTTATACGCATGCGTATTTATTATACTTTGTCTGAACACAACAAACAATCCAAAAGTGCAGGTAATAGAAAGAATAGAAAACTTTGTAATATTTTGCATTTATAACTTTCCTTTTTTCTTACTTTTCTTTTTATGCATGTAAAATATGTATAAGATATGTATATCTTATATGTTTGTTTTATTATAAGTAAACTTTATTTGAATTGTTTGCACTGATTGTTGTTGCCGAATGCTTGCGATATATGTTATATAATTTATACAAAAATTTTATTTTGTTAATTATTTTAATTTAAGAAACTTTTCTCTCTCTCTCTCTCTCTCTCTCTCTCTCTCTCTTTGTTTCATATCGAGGTGGATCGAGTAGCTGAGATATGATTGAAAGTTGGGAGAGAAGAAAGAAAATTTGGTAATATATAAAAATTTATGTGCATGTGTGCTATGTTATTCTGTAAATATTTCTATTTTATGATGTATTTATGTGTTATAATTATATAATATATATGTATATGTTAAGAAAATATAAAATAAGGATATATAGTACAATCATATTTTTTCAATTTTGAAATCTATATATTTTGTTTATTATGTAATAGGTGTCTAGGTTTTTAGAGTGGCTTCAAATCCCATTTGACTACGTTGCGATTGACTATGCGACTACTTAAACAGGGGTGTTCGTAATTTTTACATTGGATCAACTAAATGCATACAGATGCGTGCGAATATGCTGCTTAAGATGCGGACATGTTATGAGATGTCAGAAAAATATAATAATATTATCTTTGTAATAAACTTGACTTGAATTAATTAAAATAACTGCATAAATTATTAAGAAAATGCATCATTTCCCATTGTATACGTCTCTTACATATAATTTTACATATATAAGCAATATTGCATATTTTACATATAATAATAAAATAAAAAAATAATAATTATCAATAAAAGAAAAATTGAAATAGAAATTTAATGGCATGATACGTAAATGTACACGTGACTTTTTTGCAATCTAATCCAATCAGTACATAATATTTAAAAAACATGTTTAAAATATTTATTTAATATTTTTACGTTAAATAAATATTTAAAAAATATTTTTTTAATATTTTTTTAACATTGTATGCTGATTGAGAATCTAACCCTAAGGGCCTCCGCACGAACATTGCCGTAACGCCTTATGCCATCTTATGTCAGAGCCTTGTGTTACTTCAACACATTACCAGCCGTAAGACAAAACGTAAGTAACGCACAAAGAAAAACTTAGCATAAGAAGCTACTGAGTATTACGAGCAGTGATAGGTGGTAAGTCCGATAAAGATCAAATTATAATCAATTGTATTAACTAAATAAAACGATATTTCTAATGTTTTTGTAAATTTACTATAAGAAAAAGGTGTCTATTGCGTATTAAAGATGTAAAAGTATATAAAAGCAACGAAAATTCTATTATAACCTCTATCTGACATTCTTTGTGTAAAATAAATTTACAATATAATATATAATGTTTCTGTATATTTATAATATTTTATCGGTTAGATATATATTTTTCTAAGTAATTCTCTTTTTCTAGTTTTTCATCTAACATGGCAATGACAAAATCCCAGAGGCTAAAAATTTTACTTTTATTGTTACTCTCGATTTATTATAAAAGATTGAAACAGAGATTAAAATATACTAATAAAAGATGGCAAAATAGAAGATGGCTTGTGAGGCTAATTAATCAACAAAGAAAACAGTACGGAGAATACAATAATCTTTTTCAACATTTAAAAAATGACGAAGATATGTTTTTCAGATATACTAGAATGCATATTCAACATTTTAATAAATTATTTATTATGTTAGCCCCTTATTTAAAAAAAAAAACTAAAAAAGCTCTTCCTCCAGAACAAAGATTATTAATTGCATTAAGGTAAAATTTAATTTATTGATACAAAGTTGTCCAATATTTTTTTTAATTTTATAAAAAAATATGGATTGATGATAAATGTTGTAAAGAGTTATATATGTTATATTTAATTTATTGTAATGTTTCAGATATCTCGCTACAGGAAATTCAACATTGAGTATAGCATTTTCCTTTCGAGTTGGTGAATCAACTGTTAGACAGTTGATTAAAGAAGTATGTTTAGTTATAACAAATAAATTATGGCCTATATATATAACGGTTCCTACTGATAAACAATGGAAAAATATCGTTGAAGGATACTGGAATAGATGGAATATGAAGATTTGTTCTAAGAAAAATATATACGCGCTCTTTGCATTTCGTGGCCACATACTTCAACTTTTAAATCATTTATGGATGTCCATTTTGTACCTTTAGCTCGCAATAAATTTACATATCAGATCATTTATACAGATTTAGTTTAATTGATATAGGAGCTTATGGAGGAAATAGTGATGGAGGCATTTTTGAATCTTCAAATATTGGAAAAGGATTAGATAATAATAAACTTAATTTGCCTACAGCACACGCTTATCTTCCAGGAAGTAATATCAGTATGCCACACCGATACAAATTTTTGACGAATATATAGATTTAATATTAAGATTTGTAATCTTTATAACTTCTTCATTATTAACTTTAAATAATAATAATTGAATAATAAGTACACGTTTGGTCGTTGTTATACTAGTCTTTTCAAGTAAAGCAGTTGAATTACAATTACATGTATGTGTCACACGTACGATTGAAAAATACATGTATATGTCACACGTACGTCTGAACATACTCGTAACTGAAACGT